GGGAAGGAGTCAGAGCTAGGGAGGAGAGAGGGAGAAAACTTCAGGAATTATGGCCCAAGATGCGTATATAACAATAAAAGCTCTAATTACCACCAGAAGGGAGACTGAGCTAGACTAAAAACTAAAATAACAGACCTAAAATATCTAGTTTACATCAGAGGAGAGTTATACAAAGATACAAAAATCGGGCAAAGAGAAGGGAGAAATGCGTAACTTTTAAATATGGATTTCACTACAAAATTTCAGGTTTAGAAGAAAGGGGAGGGAGTGAAAATTAAATAACAAGGAGATTGACGTAAAACATGGATTCGGTTGCGCTCAGTTACCCTCACGATACAAGGGCGTATGAGGGGGAGCTTCCATGAAAAAAAAAATCAATAAAACTAGAAAACAAAAAAAAAAAATACAAATAAAAGAAAGAGATAAAAGGAATATACTGACAAAACAGCAAAAAAATAAATAAAAAAAAGAGAGGAATGTGGTCGTAAAGAAAATACGATCAGGCAGAGATGGGGAGAGAGATAGTGGAAAAAAGGAACAAGGTTTAAGGTTCACAAGGAAGAAAGAGAGAAAAAGAAAGGTGTTAAGAGCAGAGAGGCAGACACCAGCACCTTCTTGTGGCAGGGTCTTAATGGGTCTGTCGACGGCGGGAAGAAGATGGTGGAAAAGGTGGCTAGAGAGAGAGAGAGGGGGGGGGGGGGGGAGGGAGAGGAGAGAGAGAGAGAGAGAGAGGGGAGGGAGAGAGAGAGAGAGAGAGAGGAGGGAGGAGAGAGCGAGAGAGAGAGAGGAGAGAGCGGAGAGGGAGCAGATGGAGAGGGGATAAAAATGCGAACATGATAAAAAAGGAAGATCAAATTACAGGGAAGTTATGAATATGTATCAGTATGTACGGATACAGATGAAGGTAACCATGACTATACACAAATACATATACGTGCATTTACTGTTGACACACACACACAGGCACACATACACATTTGCACACACACATACACACACATACCCACATACACACACAAACACACACACATACACACACATACCCACATACACAAACAAACACACACACATACACACATACACAGGCACACACACACACACACACACACACAACACACACACACCACACACACACACACACACACACACACACACACACACACACATATATATATATATATATATATATATTATATATATATATATATATATATATATATATATATATATATGTATATGTATATATATATATATATATATATATATATATATATATACATATATATAAATGGAAAATACTATTATCTGTTGATAATATGGTAGAAAAAAACAATGCACAAACTAGATTTATTGAAGTGAGACAACAGTTTTCGGAATCGTCCTCGATTCCATTTTCGGGTTCATTGTGGGTTTTCTACCACACACACACACACACACATATATATATATATATAATATATATATATATATATATATATATATATATATATATATATATATATATATATATATATTATATATATATATATATATATATATATATATATATATAATATATATATATATAATATATATATATACACACACACAACAGAGAAAGAGAAAGAAGCGAAGGGGAGAACCAACAGAGCGACCCCGTGAAAGAGTCTACCTCTAAGTACAAAGTCCTCCCTCTACCACTTACAGAGAGGATTAGTAAAGGAGGCGAGGTCGCGTAAGACCTTCGCGAAGGGAGAGTGCCGCGGAGGGTGCATGACCTGGTCCAAGGAGGGTGCCGTGAGCCTGAGAGGAATTTGCGTTCCCTGATCTCCGCTTCCTCCGCCTCTGCGCTCCTCGTCCGGCTTGTGGTCGCCCTCCGTTCTCGGGTTTCTTGTGAATTCTCTCTTGTTCCGTCTTTCGTAAATTCTGATGGATATGTCTTTCGTCATGGTGTGGGGGGAGCTACTATAATTATCATTACCATTATCTTTACTATCATAATAATAAAAGTAAGAAAGAGGTAGGGAGAAAGAGAGAGAGAGAGCGAGATCGAGAAGAGAGAGAAAAAAAAAAAAAGAGAGGAAAGAGAGAATGCAATAATAGAACACCCCATCCTTCCCTCACCAAATACAGCCGTGTCCCATTCCCTCTATACAGCCCCCCCCCCCGTCCCATTCTCCCCCCCTCCCCTCCCTCCTCTTCCTCCTCGCCAATTTAATTTATCCCCCAGGCTGCAGTTTCGCTTCCCAATCCGACAAAGGGGGGGTCAATAAAAGAAATAAGGAGAGGATTTTTTATACCTCAATTTCTCACACTTCCCCCCCTCCCCCAGGCCCCAACTATTCCCTACGATGCTCTCTCTCTCTCTCTCTCTCCTCTTCTCGCTCTCTCTCTCTCTCTCTCTCTCTCTCTCTCTCTCTCTCTCTCTCTCTCTCTGTCTTCTCTTCTCTCTCTCTCTCTCTCTCTCTCTCTCTCTCTCTCTCTGTCTCTCTCTCTCTCTCTCTCTCTTTCTCGTCTCTCTCTCTCTCTCTCTCTCTCTCTCTTCTCTCTCTCTCTCTCTCTCTCTCTCTGTCTCTCTCTTCTCTCTCTCTCTCTCTCCTCTCTGTCTGGTCTCTCTCTCTCTGTCTCTCTCCCCCCCCCCTCTCTCTCTCTCTCTCTCTCTCTCTCTCTCTCTCTCTCTCTCTCTCTCTCTCTCTCCTCTCTCTCTCTCTCTCTCTCTCTTCTCTCTCTCTCTCTCTCTCTCTCTCTCTCTCTCTCTCTTTCCTATTTTGTTTTTTTTTGGGGGTTCTCTTTTGATTTCAATCTTTATCATTAACCCCATTTGGTTGTCTCTTCTTTACTCTTATTCTTTTCTTCTCCCTCTTCTTCCTCATCCTCTTCCTTCTTGCTTCGTTGGTTCCCCTTATTTTCATTTTCCTATTTTTCCCTCCTTTCTTCACCTGCTCATTTCTCATTTTCCTTCCTGACTCTTTTCCATGTATGCCTCCGTCTTTTTTTATCATGACCTTTATCATTTTATTCTTACTCTCTTTCTCTTTATCTACCTCTCTATCTACTTACCTATCTAACTATCTATCTGTCTGTCTATCTGTCAGTCTGTTTATTTATCTATTTATCTATCTATCTGCCTAACTACCTACCTACCTACCTACCTATATATCTATCTAGCTATTTATCCATCGATCTATCTATCTATCTATCTATCTATCTATTTATCTATCTATCTATCTATCTATCTATCTATCTATCTATCTATCTATCTATCTATCTATCTATCTATCTATCTATCTATCTATCTATCTATATATATATATATATATATATATATATATATATATATATATAATATATATATATATATTATATATATATATATATATATATATCCCACTCTCTTCTTGTCCCTCTCTTCTCTCCCTCTCCCTCTCTCCCTCTCTCTCTCTCTCTCTCTCTCTCTCTCTCTCTCTCTCCTCTCTCTCTCTCTCTCTCTCTCTCTCTCTCTCTCTCTCTCTCTCTCTCTCTCTCCTCTCCTCTCCCTCCCCTCCTCCCTCCCTCCCTCCCTCCCTCTCTCTCTCCTCTCTCTCCCTTCCTCCCTCCCTCCCTCCTTCCTCCCCCTCTCCCTCTATCCCTCCTCCCTCCCTCCCTCCTTCTCTCCTCCTCTCTCTTCCCCTCCCTCTCCCTCCCTCTCTCCCTCCCTCTCTCTCTCTCTCTCTCCCTTCCCTCCCTCCCTCCCTCCTCCTTCCCCCCCTCCCTCCCTCCCTCTCTCCCTTTCTCCATATTTCCTTCCACTCTCCTACAACTAAATCTTAAGGACGAAATTAAGGGAGGAAAAAGGGCCCCTATTTACAAAAGTGCCACTGTAGTTGGGGAAATTGGGGGCGAGAGAGTCAAGGGATATATCACTGAATATATTTTAGTTTTAGGTAGGTTTTTTTTTTTTTTTTTTGTCTTTTTCTTTTTTATGTTAGGTAGAAAATATTTTATTATTTAGGGAGAAATATTTATTATTATTATCATCATTATTATTATCATTTTAGATAGAAATTAATGTTTTTTGTTCTTTTTTATTTTAGGTAGAAATTAATTTGTTTTTGTTCTTTTTATTTTAGGTATAGTTTATCTATTCACTTTTTAATTCATTTATTAGGTAGAAACTAATTTGTTTTTTTATTTGTTTTTCTAGGTAGAAAAATAATTTGTTTTTGTCTTGTTTTTTCTAGTTAGAAATGTCTTTGTTTTTTGTTTTGTTTTTTATTTTAGACTGAAATCAATTTGGTATTTTTTCTTCTTTTTCTTCTTTTTCTTCTTTTTCTTTCGTGAAGTATCATTTTTTTCCTCCGCGACAACTCACACATATTCATATATATTTACGTCGTCTTTAAGGATATTACGAAATATGAAAGCCTTAATTAACTGACTAATTAGATGTAGTAGCAGTCATTCGTAGAACAAAATGAACGCTGCTGTGTGACTCTCGAATCAGATAATCCACGTATTATACATATTGTTCATAATATCTTTCCTAATTTAATGAGAGGAGAAAGGGAGGGGAATTGAAGAAGGGGGAAGTGGGCGTGGAAGGAGGGTGGGGGAGGGAGAGGAGTAGGAAGAAGGGAAAACAAAGCAGGGGGTAATGATGATAATAATGATAATAATGATAATAATAATAATGATAATGATAATAATAATAATAATAATGATAATAATAACAATGATAATAATAATAATGATAATAATAATCACGATAATGATAATAATAACGATAATAATGATAATAATAAAAAATAATAATAATAATAATAACAATAATATTAACATAATAATGATAAGGATAATAATATAATATATAATAATAAATAATAATAATATAATAATAATAATAATAATAATAATAATAATAATAATAATAATAATAATAATAATAATAATAATAATAATAATAATAATAATAATAATAATAATAATAACAATAATAATAATGATAATAGTAATAATAAGTATTCTCATAATTTGATCAAAGACTACATTATGAACACTGCGTTTCAGAACATGTACGCAAAGTGATGTTCTGAATTGATTATTCATTAGTCGCTGAATAATGGGGCATGTGAAATGGAACGGAATGGGGCACTGACTAGAAAAGGACACTGGCTTGGAATAGGACACTGGCTTGGGACTGGACACTGGCTGGGAATAGAAACACTGGCTTGGGATAGGACACTGACTTGGAATAGGACACTGGCTTGGAATAGGACACTGGCTTGGAATAGGACACTGGCTTAGGACACTGGGCTTGGGATAGGACACTGCGTAGGACACTGACTTGGAATAGGACACTGGCTTGGAATAGGACACTGGCTTGGAATAGGACACTGGCTTGGAATAGGACACTGGCTTGGGATAGGACACTGGCTTGGAATAGGACACTGACTTGGAATAGGACACTGGCTTGGAATAGGACACTGGCTTGGAATAGGACACTGGCTTGGGATAGGACACTGGCTTGGGATAGGACACTTGGAATAAGGACACTGGCTTGGAATAGGACACTGGCTTGGAATAGGACACTGGCTTGGGATAGGACACTGGCTTGGGATAGGACACTGGGAATAGGACACTGGTTGATAGAACTGGCTTGGGATAGGACACTGGCTTGGAATAGGACACTGGCTTGGGATAGGACACTGGCTTGGGATAGGACACTGACTTGGAATAGGACACCGACTTGGAATAGGACACTTGGGATAGGACACTGGCTTGGAATAGGACACTGGCTTGGGATAGGACACTGGCTTGGGATAGGACACTGGCTTGGAATAGGACACCGACTTGGAACACTTTGGATAGGACACTGGCTTGGGATAGGACACTGGCTTGGGATAGGACACTGACTTGGAATAGGACACCGACTTGGAATAGGACACTGGCTTGGGATAGGACACTGGCTTGGGATAGGACACTGGCTTGGATAGGACACGGACACTGGCTTGGATAGGACACTGGCTTGGGATAGGACACTGGCTTGGAATGGACAACCGCTTGGAATAGGACATTGGATAGGACACTGGCTTGGGATAGGACACTGGCTTGGGATAGGACACTGGCTTGGAATAGGACACCGACTTGGAATAGGACACTGGCTTGGGATGGACACTGGCTTGGATAGGACACTGACTTGGATAGGACACCTGGGAATAGGACACTGGCTTGGGATAGGACACTTGGAATAGGACACGCTTGGAATAGGAACACTGCTTGGAATAGGACACTGGACACTGGCTTGGGATAGGACACTGGCTTGGAATAGGACACCGACTTGGAATAGGACACTGGCTTGGGATAGGACACTGGCTTGGGATAGGACACTGACTTGGAATAGGACACCGACTTGGAATAGCCACTGGCTTGGGAATAGGACACTGACTTGGAATAGGACACCGCTTACCGACTTGGAATAGGAACGACACTGGAATAGGACACCGACTTGGAATAGGGCATTGATTGGGAGAGGACACTGCTGGAATAGGACACTTGAATGACTTGGAATAGGGATTGATTGGGAGAGGACACACTTGGAATAGGACATAGGAGGGCATTGGCCACTGACTTGGAATAGGACACCGACTTGGAATAGGACACTGCTTGGGATTGGGCATACACATAGGGATGGTACACAGATTACTGAGTAATGTATAGGTAAACACAAAAGAGATAGATTGAGCTTAACGTTTAAACAAACACATAAATACGATGAAAGACGCACAGGCAGGCTATAACCAACGATCACATCTATTGATGAATGAAAGTACAAATCGTAGAATATTTTGAAAGTAAACAATTACTCTTCGGCCTTATTTGAATACGAGAATAGGAGGTCATTCATTTATTTTAATCCCCATAACGCTCATCTATTCATCACAAATACATAAACAAGATTCTTTCTCTCTCTCTGTCTTCCTCCCTCTCGATCTATCTACTAATTCACCTATTTGTATCTATATTTATATCTATCTATCTATCTATCTATCTATCTATCTATATCTATCTGTCTATCTATCTATATCTATCTATCTATCTATCTACCTATCTATCTATCTATCTATCTATCTATCTATCTATCTATCTATCTCTCTCTCTCTCTCTCTCTCTCTCTCTCTCTCTCTATATATATATATATATATATATATATATATATATATATATATATATATACAAACATAGACACACACACACATACACAAACACAAACATACAAACATAGACACATACATACATACATACTCGTACACACACACACACACACTCGCCAACCATAAACATCGACTCCCCTGTGTTTGAAGGCATGAACCGAACCTTTCTGCACGTCGCGTCACATCAAATACTGCGCGGTCACACACTCACTCAGCTGTTCGTAATCAGCTGTTCGTGATCAGCTGTTCGTGATCAGCTGTTCGTGAATTCGTCTGGAGTATTTTGGATGTCGGATCTTTTTAAAGTGCAAATGTTATTGCATGATTGCAAGGATGATTCTATATGGCATGATATGCCAATCACTCTTGATTGATATATATGAGAGAGGGAAGAGAAAGAGAGAGAGAGAGAGAATAGAGAGAGAGAGAGAGATAGAGAGAGAAGAGAGAGACAGAGAGAGGGAGATAGAGAGAGAGATAGATAGATAGATAGAGAGAAGAGAGAGAGAGAGAGAGAGAGAGAGAGAAAGAGAGAGAGAGAGAGAGAAGAGAGAGAGAGAGAGAGAGAGAGAGAGAGAGAGAGAGAGAAAGAAGAGAGAGCAGACAGACAGAGAGGAGGAACAGATAGAATCAGAAAGAGAGAGAGAGACAGACAGACAGAAAGAAAAAAAGAAAGAGGGTAGATGAGATAAATAAAGACAGGCAAAGAAAGAGACAGGGATAGAGAGATAGAAATAAAAAGAAAAAGGCAGAAAGAGAAGGAGAGAGAGACAAAGACAGGAAGACAAACACACCGAGCTGTCGCCCAAAGTCTACACAGACACATACTTCCATCTGCGCATGTTTTCAGTCCATACAATGAAACAGACACATGAAGAGAAAAGCAACAAAACCCATTGAAACAATTTCTGTTGTTTTAAACGGGCTCTTCTTGTCCATTAACTTGGTGACAAGAGAAGAAGGGAGGAAAATAGAGAGGGAAGGTCAGAATAGAAGAGAGAAACAGAGAGAAAGACAGACAGACAGACAGAGAGCGGAGAGAGTGAAATAGACAGAGAGGTAGAGAGAGAGAGAGAGAGAGAGAGAGAGAGAGAGAGAGAGAGAGAGAGAGAGAGAGAGAGAGAAGAGAGAGAGAGAGGAGAGAGAAGAGAGAGAGAGAGAGAGAAAAAAGACACAGAGAGAGAAAAAAATGATACAGAGAGAGAGAGAGAGAAAACGAAATAGAGAGAGAGAGAGAAGAGAGAGAAGAGATAGAGATAGAGGAGAGAACGAAATAGAAAAGGCGAGAGAAAGGTTTAAAGACACATAGAGAGAGAGCGAAGAGAGAACGAAATAGAAGAAATAATGAAAGAGAGAGAGAGAGAGAGAGAGAGAGAGAGAGTAGAGACTGGCAGCGACAGAGACAGAGACACGCAGAAAGCGAGAGCACGGTGAGAACGAAATAGTAGAGCTAAAGCGAAAGAGAGACATATAGAGAAACAGAAAGAGAGAGCGAAAGAGAAAGAGAGACAGAGACGGAGAGAGAGCGAAAGAGAAAGAGAGACAGCGAGAGAGAGAGAGAGAGAGAGAGAGAGAGAGAGAGAAGAGAGAGAAAGAGGAGCATTACCCCTGGATACTGCCCCTCGTCGTCCGTTGAGCGTTACCTTGGCGACAGCGTGGCGTGGAAGGGCGAGAGCGGCCGAGAGAGAGAGAGAGACGGATCTCCCCGTTCAAAGGACTTTCCATTCGCGTGCGTCAAGGGAGACTAGGGGGCAGGTGGAAGAGGGGAAAAGAGGGGGAAGGAGAAAGGAGGGAAAGAGGGAGAGGAGGAAGAGGGAAAAGGGGGGTGGGAGGAAGAGGGGAAAAGAGGGGGAAGGAGAAAGGAGGGAAAGAGGGAGAGGAGGAAGAGGGAAAGAGGGGGTGGAGGAAGAGGGGAAAAAGAGGGGGAAGGAGAAAGGAGGGAAAGAGGGAGAGGAGAGAAGAGGAAAAGAGGGGGTGGGAGGAAGAGGGAAAGAGGGGGGAGGGAGAAAGGAGGGAAGAGGGAGGAGAAAGAGGGAAGAGGGGAAAGAGAGAGGAGGAAGAGAGGGAAAGAGGGGGTGGGGAGGAAGAGAGGGAAAGGGGAGAGGAGAAGAGGGGAAAGGGGAGGGGAGGAAGTGGGGAAAGGGGGTGGGAAGAGAAAGAAGGGAAAGAGGGAGAGGAGGAAGAGGGGACAGGGGGTGGGAGGAAGAGAGGGAAAGAAGGAGAGGAGGAAGAGGGGAAAGGGGTGGGAAGAGGGGGAAAGGGGGGTGGGGAAGAGAGGGAAAGGGGGAGAGAGAAAGAGGGGAAAGGGGGGGGGAGGAAGAGAAGGTGGTGGGAGGAGAGGGAGGAAAAGGAGGGGAGGAAGAGGGATAAGGGGGTGGGAGGAGGGGGGGAATGGGGATGGGAAGAAGGGGAAAGGGAGAGAAGTAGAAAGAGAGGAAAATAGAGGGAGGAAAAGGGGGATAAGAGGAGGAGGGGAGGAGGACGGGGAGAAAGAAATGGGGAAGGGAGAGGAGGGAAAGGGAGATAGGAGGAGGAAGGTTTAAAGAATAGGTGAAAAAAGGGAGGGAAAAGGGAAAAAGTGGGAGAGGAGGAAGGGAGTAAGAGGAAACAAGGGAAGAAAGAGGAATTAAAAGACGTTGGGAGGGAGGAGAAATAAGAGGAGAGAGAAAATGGAAAGTGAATTAGGGGAGAGGAGACGAGGAAGAGTGAAGAAGAAGAAAGAAGGGGAAAGAACGAGGGAAAAGGGAAGAACAGAAGAAGCGAAAAGAAAAAAAGAGAGAGGCTGAAGGGGAACGAAAATAAGGGAATAAAGCATATATAAATATTGAAGATAAATAAATGAAAATAAAGAAGGAATAAACGGGAAAGTGAGACGAAAGGGGATTAAGGTGATAAAAGGGGTGCGAAAGAAAACTCAAAAGAACAGATTCAAGAACAAAAGTCTTTCTATTTGCGTGTATCGGAGAAAAGGGAAAGAAAGAGGGAGAAATGGGGAGAAGGGAGAAGAAGCAAGAAGAGGGAGAGAGAATAAGAGTAACAAGAGGGAAGGAGGATCAGTGGAAGGGAAGGGAGATAGAGAAAGAAAGAGAAATAAAGGAAAGAATATGACAGAGAGAGCAGAAGATGGAGAAAATGTGGAAAGCAAAAGAGAAAAGGGAAGAGAGAAGAGAATAAGAGAGAGAGAGGAATCGTAACAAGAGGGAAGGAGGATCAATGGAAGGGAACGGAGAGAGATAAAGGAAAGAAAATGACAGACAGAATAGAAGGAGAAAATATGGAAAGCAGAAGAAGAAAAGGGAAAAGCGAAGACCAAGAAAGAGAGGAAGTGAGAATAACCGGAAGTAGGAGAGAAAAAAAAGGATAGGAGAGAAACTACAAAGAAAGAAAAAGAAAATGATAAGACGAAGGAAATAAAATAAAACAAAAAAACGAAAAACAAAAAGAATTAAAGAAAGACAGGAGAAAGGAAAGAGAAGAGAAGGGGGAAAGATAATGACGAATAAAAGCAGGTGGAGAATCATCATATTGGTATATTTTAGCTTTTTTTTACTCCTTTCTGTTTACTGTCTTGATGATATAATATTAGAACAGCAAGGTCACTGGATTCAGATTCATCTATGTATATGTGTGTGTGTGTGTGTGTGTGTTGTGTGGGGTGTGGTTTGTGGTTTGTGTGTGTGGGGGGGGGGGGTAGATGTGCATGTGCGGGTGTGTGTATTTGTGTATGTGCTTATCCGTGTTTTTTTTGTCTGTGAGTGTGTTTTTACATGTGTGTGTGTTTGTCTGCGTGTATATGGGTGTTTGTTTGTCTGTGTGTGGGTATGTGTGCGCGCGTGTGTGTGTGCATGTTGTTTGTCCGTGTGTGTGGGTGCTTATATATGTGTAGCTGCGTGTGTGTGTGGGGGAGCGTCTTTGTGTGTGTGTGTTTGCGTGTGTGTCTGCATGTGTTCATATTAAATGTGAGTATATTCCGTTAATATTATTAAAAACATTAAATACATTGTGACAAGACAGTAGACAAAAAAAGCGTTGGATCCACAACTTTCCATAAGAGAAATGTCAACATCCAGACACTTTATGAATGAAAAAGAAAAAACAAACACATACATAATCTTAAATTTATACTTAGACCAGCCATTGTTCTCATTAACGAATCACTACGGTCATTAAATCCAGTAGATTTGACTCCTAATTACCCCAGAATATGCCAGAAAGATAATTAATGAAGACAATAAAGCTGCAACGAAATAGAGAAGAAGAACAAGAAGAGAAAAAATGTGATTAATTAAGACAATAAAATTGTGACGAAAAAGGGAAAATAGAAAGGAGTGAAAAATAAAGGTGATTGAAGAAAAAAAGGGTGACTAATTAAGAACAATAATGCAGCAACGAGAGAGAGATTGAGAGAGAGAGAGAGAGAGTGAGTGAGTGAGAGAGAGAGAGAGAGAGAGAGACAGAGAGAGAGAGAGAGA